GGTCGATGGCAAGCATATGCCTGATTGTGGCGTAACCGGAAATAAAACAAAAAAGCCTAATGGAGTGTCTTAACTGTTTTTACTGCGTTTTCTGTGCCCTGTGCCCTGTGCCCTGTGCCCTGTGCCCTGTGCCCTGTGACCTGTGCCCTGTGCCCTGTGACCTGTGCCCTGTGCCCTGTACCCTGTGCCCTGTGCCCTGTGCCCTGACCTGTGACCTGTGCCCTGCGTTTTGTACCTGCCGGTTCTAAAGCGACATATTCACGGTTGCTCGTGTAAACAAAATCCGCATAGATGTCGAATGCTAATTCAAAAGGAAGATAACCCTTCCATCGACCATTTGGGGTAAACTCTGTTTCATATTGTGAAGGCACTGAAAGACTTTCCAAAACAGCAACCAGGCCTTGCAATTTCCGAAGCTTCAATTGACCTTTTGTAATGTTTATCAATCCAAGGAGTTTATTTCGGCTCTGTTCGATTGTCGACGATTGCAAAGATTTGAACAAAACTTCACTTAATCTTGCCTTTTCTACGATACCGTGCTTTTCACTGTCAAGCGGCACTGTTCTCCAATCCTCACTAGCCAAGATATTTTCCTTTTCTGTTTGATCCGCCATATTTTCCGCCATATTGAAGTTTTACGAATTGGGAGGCCTGTGGAATACTACTAGTATCCAGTCCCTTTCTTTCAAGACAGTAACGCCTAGAATTTTTAAAACAAACGAGCTGCTGAAGACACGAGTTTTAAAAATTTACAGCTACTGTAGAATGGGGAAGGATTGTCGTGGCCAATCAAGGAAGAATTGTCTTGTAAAAGACCGTGATTGTGAAGAATATGAAAGGCCAGGAGAGGATGAAGGTTCGAATAAATGCTCGTATTGTGGCTGTCCGCCAGCAAAGCACAGGCGAGTGGAGACCATTGCAACAGTGCAGGATACTTCTCCGGAGACGAACTCAAATGCAGTAGGAGACGGCATATTACGACCTTACTCATCTGGACCTAAGTGGAAAGATAAGAAATTTGGCTTCGTCCCTGATGCTAAAAGAAGAATTTCTCTTTTCGGAAACAAGCTTTTGCCAGATTTTTATGAAAGCTTCAAAGTAAGGGCTGGATCTAATGTTCAGTTGATGAAAAGAATGTTCATTGCTGATAGGGATAGACAGTATAACATTACAATGGACATTGAGCAGCTGGAAAATAGGTTTCAGTATCTATTGTCCGACAATCCAGCCTGTGCCGGTAGATTTCTCTGTGATGACTACAAGCCAAACCCACATGATGACAGTAATATCACTAGATGTAAAAATGAGGCAAATGAAATCAAGCTTAAGCTTCAAGCCATCAAAGATAAGATCTCAAAACACGACGACAGCCTCTTCTCTGAAAACACTGGTAAACTCAAAACTGGACTGAGCTGCCATCACACCTTTAATAATGACAAACGTTATTATGTATCATCTAGTATCGAGAAGGATGTTGATCGCTTGATTGAAGATTTAGACAAAGCATTTGCTAAGTACCGGGGTGCTTACCACATTGGCTCAAAATCTAAAACTTCTAAAGCCAGAAAGAGAAAGGAGCAGAGAAAAAAATCAAGGAACAGGAGATTGAACACTTCAAATAACAGACGAAAAAGAGCTTGCATGATATTTAGATCCTTGGGAGGAGAGCCTGTTGAACTTTGTTATGAGCCAGATATATATGGAATTTAGTAAATCGATTCAGTCGATGAAGAAACATTACTTTTATTCACATCAAAAACCGACAAAGCTTATCTACGAGATCTGTTTGATTCCCATTGTTTTGTGGGGGAAGCTGAAAAACAAGTTCATGATTTTTGCTTTACACAGGATCAGCTCAATTAGAAGACGGTTAAAATTGATCAGTTGTGAATTTGCTTTTCATTTTGATGGAATATTCTCAATAATCGCTTAACAGCTGTTCGTATTGATATTTGTTACAGTCTATCATGATGCCTGTATTGAGAATCTTTTATTGCGTTTAATTTTATTTACATTTCGAATAAAACTTAAGGCCCCCCCTCCGTCAAATGAGTGATTTTACTTTGAGCNGGCTTGATCTTTTGTCTTTTTTCCCTCAAAACGACAGCTTAGTATTTTCTTCAACTTCCACGTTTCATCTGTGCATTTCATCGGTGTATTTTACCGTCAGGAGAGGAGATTTGTTGAATTTGCCTAAATTTTACCCCGCTTGCTCAGTTTCGTGGCGTGACCAATCAGAGCGCACAATTTACTTTTGTTATGTCATAACATGGAATGATAGGTAACTAAAGTTAATAATAATAATAATAATATAGGTTCAGTTAGAATGTCATACATGTATGCTGTTGCGTACCATTTTTTTTTCGTAACACCGCTTGTCAAAAATACTTTTTTTAAATACTTTCCTGAAAAAAACGGGCTCAGATTGTGAATCTCAAAAATCCGCATTTGGATTTGATACGAAGAATCCACCCTGAGTGTGGATATGGATTCATGATCCGTTTTTGGATTTGGCCCCCAAAACGCAAAAGCAGTTTTTAAATTCGAAAATCCGGATTTGGATTTTCCCCCAAAAACGCACCCAAGGCCTTACATGTTCGCTTGGACCACGTCACCCGGCACGCGTTGGCCGCGCGGAATAATAAGGCCTGGGGACTAGGCAAGTGTTTTCCCTAGTCACCCTCCCCCACCCGCGGTGAACTAATTTCCATGACAAACCACATCCGGAGTAACTTTAAACAGTACTGACTCATCGAAATACAGGATTTACAGAGCTTGGTTCGGGCTATATATAGCAGGGTACGAGTAAAAAAGTGCTAATGGAGAGAACTTTCTAATACAATGTACACAGAATTATCTTACCCTATACTTTGTTATCAATAATCGGGCTAACTGCAGCAACAACTTTTAAACTCAGTATGGAACAAGAAAAACTTGACTTCAGCAGCTAATGAATTTATAATAAAGAGCAAAAAATTACATGCAGCAGACCATGATAAGCATATAATTAGAGTATTTTTATTTGCCACAGTAAATTACGCAATATAAACTTGGACATATCAAACTAGCCACATCAAAAATATCGGTATTTTCAGGACTAGCGGCTCAGGTGAGGTCTTCATTTGTTGCAGTTGCAATAACGTTTGGAGCAAGGCATCAATTTTAAACGAGCAGGCCTATTAGTAAATGTTGAAAATAATGAAGTTTGCTAAATACAGAAAGGAATCCGCAGCGAGCCATTAGCCTTGTAAATATAGTTACATGACTGACCTATAACATATTTATTTAATGACAGCCATTCTAGGCTCTCACAAAGTATAACAAAGGATTCTCCAGCCGATGAGCCCCATGTTTATAAAAATATAACTATAGACGGTGAAGCTAAAACAGGCGACCTTGAATAGGGCGTGAATGGTTCTTTGCATTCCCGGTACGGACGTGCAGTGCTCAAAAGGGATCAAAACCGATCGATTTCATCAAATTTCGAGCACGAGGAACAGGAACATGAAAATTGGGAACAAAATTTAACTTAAACACTTGCTCTGTCAGTAACTTCATCTTCAATGATCTACTTGATTTCCATTTTTTCATTTTCCCGTTCCCCGTACTAGTTTCCTCCCTCCCGGTTCCTTGTTTAGTAACTCGAAATAAACCCTGTAACCACGTAACGTGTTTTTTTGTTTGTTTATTTTTCCGAACCCAATTTCTCCAAACTGGCTGAGGATTTGTTCTCTAAAAATATAGTCATTTTGCGTCTTTGATGAGATGACACATTTTGTACGTTTGGAGTGGAGTAAAGGTCCCTTTAAGTGACATTGAAATAATTTTGCCAAAATTCGCATCTCGCGTGGAACGTGTGTGGATCGCATAGAGAGACAGAAACACGAATCGGCTTTATTATTAATATTTCTTATGGGTATACATAACTTCGCTTTTTCTCGCGATTGAAAAAAAAGAAAAAAAAATCGCGAAATTAAAGACCCGCGAAAATAAATCCTCGCGAAATTTATAAGCACTCAAAACCCATATAGCTAGAAAATTCAAATAACAGAAAAAGAAAAGGAAAAAAAAACTATTAACATGTTATAGCATTACACCATAGACGGGGCAGTGTATCGACGAATGCTCATTTACGGGTAAGCTTCATTTTGTATCTTCATTTATGAAATAACGTTGTTTCAACACATTTCTTGTTCCAGTTTATCCAGACATTTTAAAAGGTTCATACTTTTTTAGAAATGAAAAAACGTCGAGAACGCTTAAATCTGAAATTTGTTGCCCTTTTTCTCATATCAGTGCCTGCTGAAATCGCGCAATTAAACTGACTTCGCGAAACTTAGTACATTTCGCAGGTAATAAAAAAAAGTACCAATAAAGTATATCGGTCAGGTTGGTAGTCGCAGTGGCGTTATCGATTTGTGACGTCGAGGTGCGGCCTTGGTCCGTTGCTTTCAGCTTTGTTCCCTCGTTCCCAAATAAATCCGGACAATACGGAAAGAGGAAAAAGAAACAGCCCGACAAGGCTGGCATTACGTGGCGCTACTAAAAAACAGAAATTTCAAGAGGGAATTTCTAGATAGTCTATATATATAAAAATCTCACAAGGTGTAAAGGGTCAGCTGTGAGAATAAAGGAAACAAGCCAACGGAAAATAATTATAATTAATAAAAAACACAACAACAACAACAAGCAAAACAGACAAAAACGAAAAAAAAAAGTCTTCTTCGGGATTCTAACCTCCACTGAGACCGCTCCTTGCAGACAAAATTACTACAGTTAAAGCACTTTTCTCTGACACAGACTCTGTTTGAAGCAATTGGAGCGACAGAATTCATAGATACCTGTAAATAAAATTAGTTAAAGCGCGCATTTCAAGGCTATTTCGCAGGCATTTCACTTTCGGTTTAACGACCGATCGATGCAGGGAGCTGATAGAAAGCAGTCGTTGATCCATCGGTCACATCGATCGGAGGAAAGGAACCAATTCATCGTGGGTTTGCCGTGTTGTAACATGAATTCAAAGTTACAGATTTCAGGGAAAAGAAAGGATTTGACGATAAGAAGACGAACTGGAACGCACTTCCGACAAACATATCACTCGACCTAGTTAGGACGTTTAATTATGTCTCGATTTTCGCTCTTGTTCCCTTGAAGCTACTGGTCCATATTGCTTCATTGTTCGCTGTAAAATAATTTTGCCATCGCTGGTAATCGCCAAAAGTATTTCTTGGTCGCCATAACGACCGTAACGCTGATCAAGTTTCTCACTTTATGACGTCACTAAAATGCGCACACAATGGGATAAAAATATAAAAATATAAATGGGCCAACCGAGGAAATATGCTGATCTCTATTGCTCAGGTTCTTGTTGTTTCCTTAGTTTATTTCCCTTATGCAGGTAAGAAATTCAGAATATCGTAACTGTACCCCAGTGGAACATATAAGTTTGATTTTGAACTTTAATATGTAACCGACTTCAGCAACACATAATTATCTAAGAATGAATCTTCAGTCAAGGAATTAATAAGAATAATTTCCTTTTGCTTAAACATTTTAGATATGTTTAATGACTTTTTTTTTAGCGCAAAGAGACCACGTTTGGCTAGTTGGTTTTTCTAGCTTTTTATCACTGTGCATGGTTATTAGTGTAGCCGAAGGTGTTTGTTATTCACGTTCCATTCTTAAAATCACGCCTGCGACAGCCCGATGCGACACTAAAGTGCAAGGGGCAGCCACTTATTTGTTCACTCTAGAACTACTTTTAATCTGGCATATACACATATTTGTTACCAGAACTAAGACCTAGTAATTATAGTGATTCGAACCCCTCTACTAATCAGGGAATAATTAACGGTTTTGAAATAAAAACAAGCCAGTGGGCCGAGACGTCTAAGTCACCACGCATTTTCTTTCAGACGGCGTGACCGCAGGCTTTAGAAAAGCACATTCAGATTTTATTTAACTTTTGTGAAGTGACCGCAGAGGGGTATGTTTGCTTGGATCAATGCCTCACCAGCTTTGCGCTTATCTATCTAGATAGTTCTTCACCTCTGTTTACTTCCCGGGCGCTTTGTACCCGGTGTAACTTCTCGAATAGCCTGCTTAGGGGGTGTTTACATGACACCGGGGCGACTTTCGTCCCGGAGCGAGTTCACTCCGGTTCCCTCTTATGGCTGTATATTTGTTTACCTGATACCACCACAAAATGTCATGCCGGCGTGAGTCACCCCGGCGTGAGTTCACCCCGGTTTTTGTACCAGGGCGAGAATTTCACCCCGGTACGTAATCTCGCAACGGTATCATGTAAACGCGAAACGACCACCCATTTCAGTGTGAAATCGGTCTACCGATCGACTGGAACGGGTAGCGCATGCGTAATGTTTGCGATTTTGAATCACACGTGTATTTTATCAACATGAAGTGTACCTTCAAATAACGAGATACGAAATGGCCCAGTCATCAGATTATTCGAGATCGAGGCTTCATTCAAGTTTCTTAGTTCGATTACTGAACTCAATCCAACCCAGTTGTCAGATTACGTACTATTGCATTAAAACAGGTTTGATTTTAGAACGGTTGTGTAGTTATCTATCCTATACACGACCCCTCAAGCTACTAAGCTTTAAATCGCATTGTACGGTCCGTAAATACCCCGTGACATAGGCCTAGTATAGGAGTTGCTCGCTCCGGTTAAGGGTCCTGTAAAGGTT